GAGAACAATTTGTACTTAACTGTGACGCATTTCCTTTCCTCATAAGTACAAAAAAACGTACTGAAACCAATTTGGTAATGTGAGTTGTTTTAATCATTTCTTTTCCTCTGTGTGTTTTCAAAGCCAATGTTGTCTCTGAGCTCAGAGGGTGATGGAAAAGTGAGACGAAGCAAGGTTATACCCCAAACCATATCACCATTTCTGGGCCCTGGGGCAGTGTTCATTCTGTCGTTTGACCACATTTCTTCATTGTTCAGCCCACAGAGCGATGTGCTCTGTGACGGAGCCATGCCTCATGCTTTCCCCAGAACAGCTGGTCTAGACCAACGTGTCTCAACATGTCTCCCTCTGGCTTGTAATTGTTCAGGGTTACTTCCACAATGTTACAGTTTTCTGTTTTCTTTTTGCTGTATGTATAACATACTTACTGTTTGTGTTTTACAGTTACTCTCTTTTACTATTTAACCTTACTTTGTATATCATTGGTAGTTTGATAAACATCTTTTCATTAAAGGTGTTTACGTATATAAGTTGCATGTTGTCTTTAATACACCAATAAGAAAAATCAAGCTTGACATCAACTTTTGAGTCTTTTTTTACATTCGTTGCTCCAAGTTATACAACTGTTTTATTTCTCATATCTTTTTCTGCTCATGTACCTTTAAAGGTTACATTTTAAAGGATGTGGTTACTGAGAAATATTGTGTCACATGCAGAGTTTTTATCTGTAGTTCAAAAATATAATCTGTTGGTTTCTATGATAGTTCATCACTGCATCAGTTGTAGTTAGAAAGGATGAATCTGAATGACAATCTGAAAAACAGTTTATTAGTAGTTTGTGCCTGCAAGATTATGTTGTGTAAATCTCTTTCTTAGGTCAGAAAAAGGTGATGTAGTCAGTAATTTTCATGCAGAATACCCAACTCCAGAGATAGGGAAGGACAATTTTTCCTCTAATCTTGATTTTACTAATACATTTACATACAACATGTAATCATATCAAATTACCACAGATTACCAAAAGATTGGAAAGGAAGTCTTTTTGTACACTTATTTTTAAAGTTTAAAACACTATCACGACCTAGTGTTGTGCATTATGCATTTTTTCTGTCTTTAGGTTGGGAATAATTAATTACCTATTAATATTCTTCTGCAGTTTTCTCTGAAGTCCTGCAGAAAATAAAGCTTTTCACTAAAGAAAAAGGGTTTTATTGACTGCTGTGCAGGTCACCACAAATGATCAAAACAATGGCCAAAGATCGCTGCCCTGAACTGCCCCCCGAAGACCTTTTTGTCCCCCGCAACCTCCCAGCCAGGGTTAATCAATTCATCACCTTTACCACCTCCATTACCACCATCCTGTCCTTGGAGAGTCTTTAGTCACCCTGAAGACTTTCAGGGGACAAATGCTGAAGTCATGTGTCAAATGGCATCCTGAAATGTGAAATGTGTGCACTAGTAAAAAACAACAGCTACAGCCTAACTTTCTATAATGTGAATAAATACTTCAGAAATTCTTAGCTATACACAGCCATTTGTATCTTTTATACATAAAGTTGAATAGAACAGCAGCATTTGTATACCAACGTAGTATGTTTCTGGTACAGAAACATCTATTCATTTTGCCTATGGATTAACTGTTGGCCTCAATAACTAAAAGTTTGACTTCTCTTTGTCTCACAAAATGTTTGGTTTGGGATCCTGATAGGAAAACATTTTGGGGCTATTTGGCAGCAGTACTTAATATAGCCTAGTATATACTGGTTATGTACGAAGCATGTACTGTGGTATGTTTGAAGGTGTATATATAGGGCATGTACTGTGATATGTTTGAGGGTATGTATGGGGCATGTACTGTGGTATGTATAGGGCTTGTACTGTGGTATGTATAGGGCTTGTACTGTGGTATGTTTGAGGGTATATATAGGGCATGTACTGTGGTATGTTTGAAGGTGTATATATAGGGCATGTACTGTGATATGTTTGAGGGTATGTATGGGGCATGTACTGTGGTATGTACAGGGTATGTATAGGGCATGTACTGTGGTATGTACAGGGCTTGTACTGTGGTATGTATAGGGCTTGTACTGTGGTATGTTTGAGGGTATATATAGGGCATGTACTGTGGTATGTTTGAAGGTGTATATATAGGGCATGTACTGTGATATGTTTGAGGGTATGTATAGGGCATGTACTGTGGTATGTACAGGGCTTGTACTGTGGTATGTATAGGGCTTGTACTGAGCTGTTTTATGTATTACTAATGGTAAGTTTATTTCTCCAAGAGTTTATAGACCAAATGACAAAAAGAATATTCAGTTAAGTTGCACCTGTGTAAAGATGTGTCTGGTGACTTGAAACTATAAAATAAGTATTTTACCCTCCTATAATCTTGTGTTTTCAGTTTTTATAGAGACAATAACCACAGTATGTGGTGACTGCATGTCTAGTTTCTGTTCACAGCTCTTGTGTAAAACACAATATTTCCCTTCACAGTTCAGTAACGCCCATTTGTGTCACACTTCCCAACCCTGGGTGTGTCTTTGTTTATGGGTGTTGACTTTGTTTCAGGGTGTGTGTTTGTGTGTGAGTGAAAAAGAGAGAAGGCACTCACATTTGTGTGTTTGCATTTAATCTTGTGCTGCCAGCTTAAAGCGACAATGTTTCCCCCTGGAGATGAGAAGACAAAGGCAGTGGAAGTAGTCTCTTTTCAATCTGAAAACACACAAAACCCAAGACAAAGTGTGTGTCTGTGAAGTTTCAGTTAATTTATCAGGAAAGTGATAAGGACTGTGACTACTCAAATCAAAGCTTAAATAAAAACACACCCTCGTTTCTATTTATGGTATTATTCATGTTTTTATGCAAGTATTTTGACTTTGCTTGTCCTTTTTCTATTTTACGACCACGTCTTATCTCTTTGCTTTAAGACGTGGTCATGAAATAGTTCAGGTCTTTTGTATATCATGAAAATATTATTTTATTTTATARATAATGGTCTAATAGTCAGATTCTTTTCCAGGCCCAACAGTTAATGTGAGATGATCTGGTGATGACTTGAAGGAACGCTAGGCCTTTATTTCAAATAGTTTTGTCCTCATCTATTTTTCCTACATAATAAACTGAATAAAGTCAGTCTGCTGCTGTCATGTTTCAGTTTACACAGGTGCTGCTATGTTTGTCAGATCTGCTGGATTGAGATGTTCTGCTGTCTGCGTACGTCACCACCAACATGTAGAGGGAGACGGTGTTTAGAGCTGTTAATGTTCAGCACAAATTTAGATGATTTATCCTCACGCTGCAATAAATCACTTGCACACACACAAGAGGCATCAGCCCTGTCGTGTCTTTCACAGAGCCACAGAAAGGTGGATCAAAACACAGTAAATCTAGATTTCTGCCTCATCTCGTGTTGCTTATATGACTTAAACTTGTATTCTGTCATTACCACAAAGTTAATGAACCCAGCAAAAAAAAAAAWAATAATAATAATCCAGCCGCACTGCCAGATGAAGTGTGGGTTTAATGAGCAGGAGATAATCAAGAGGAATTGGATCCATATGAAGCTCTCTGTGATGTTTTGATCCACTGTGCAGCAGCAGTTTGTCATGTTGATACACGGTTCCCCTGCAGCTCATGTTAGCTGGAGCTATCATCATTTCTGAYCTTTATTTACCAGTTCAGCTTGTCACTGTGACAGATTTCCTTTATAAAAGCTTCTTTGACCTGGTGGCTGCTGCCTGCAGCTTAGAGCAAGTCAAATGTTTGTGTCTGGAGCAGAAAAAGAACAGAAATACTTTGTATCTCTGCAGTTCCACTATGTTGACTCTAGGCTTGGGCATAATCGTATCAATCTTCAGAAAAATATTAATCGATTTATTTTTTGGCGCTTGACGATTAATACGATTAATGCCACGAGGCAGAGTCCGCTCGCTGCTCCTCTCTGCTTCAAATATCATGAGCATTTAAAAAAAAGTTGTGTAATTTATTTATCTATCAACACAAATTAAAATTTGATGTACAGCCTGAAGTCTGTAATTCTGACACAACTTGGAGCAGATTTGTATGAAGAGCAAATCTTTCCCACTAAGTTGGTCATGTGACCAGGACAAAGGGAGTCCAGGGGATTAATCATCAAATTAATCATTATCGACTAAATACCACAATTAATCATCATTAATTTTTTTGCCAATATTGCCCAACCCTAGTTGACTCTAACAGTTGATCAGTCTTAGATGTTACAGTATGTTGTCTGTATTTGAGTTGTTGTTGTGTTTTAATGTGTTGGAGGGACCAGAGGACTTGTTTCTATCGTGAGCTGCACCACCTAACATGTTGTTACCTCTGTGTCTAACTTAGTTTGTTTCCATCACGCTTTAATATTAGCATTCATGCTAATCATATTTGACCTCTTTTCCTCAAGTTCTGGGCGAATTTGCTCATATTTCTCATTTTTGTCAAGATCCTCGTCGTCTTCCTGTACGGCTTGAGAAGAAGCAGCCCTTCAAAATAAAATGTGTTTAGTGCAATGACTTCTGGTTTAGTGTTTTAGTCCTGAGCTAACGTGTTGATTTAATTTCCCTCCTARGTCGCAGCACCTGCAGTGTAACTTTAGCACACACGTGTAATTATTGTGCAACTTTTATTAAAAGTTGTTGATGAGATATTTTGCTAACAAACCGAGGCAAAAACATCATCACAGTCAGCAGCAGTTAATCTCACCTAATTTTGGTTAATTATATTTTTTAGCAATGTCTCAAAAAGCTAACTGGTTTCCCACATTCAGGGAATTCTTTTCATTAAATAAAAAAATAAAGATTCATCTTGTCCAGTAACAGAATTAACTGTAAGTTAATTATTGGAGCTGCTGATTGTTTTATCTTGTGTAACACAACTTGTCTGCTGGCCTGCAGCAGTGAGTMTGTTATGTAAGAGAGAGGAAGCAGCTCTGAAGCATCCAGACTGGAAGCAGTAATAACTCCCTTCACTGTGTTCTTCAGGTTGTCCGCGCCCGTCCGGCCTGCAGCACGGGTTCCTGCTCAACCAGACCGAGTCCAACTGGGCCTCTTTTCCTTCTGCCTACAATCTAACATACGGCTGTGATCAGGGATACACAGCAGATGGACCCACCACCATCACCTGTTCCAGTAATGGATCCTGGTCCCATCAGCCTCCAAACTGCATCAAGAACAGAGGTCAGCACTGAGATCACGTTTTTGTTCCGTATGTTTTTCAGCACATATATCATCCCACAGTTCTGTTCTGTTTCAACAGTTCACATGTGAAAACATTCAGCTCCTTCAGGAGACGTATAGTTTGAGACATTTAGCTTTTTCTGCCGTTTTCCTCATTTAAAATGAATAAAGCTGTTTTCATCATCCTTAAAACCGTTGTTTTCATAAATATGCTCATAAATATTTACAGCGTTTTACATTTTGTTCCAGTTCTTTTTTAAAACTCCTTTATACTAAATTTAGCTTCTTTTGGCTTCTATTTTGCTGATTTTTTTTATCTTTTTCAACTATCATTATGACCTTTTATGTACAACGGAGTATTAGGGCCATAAAAAAAGATTTTTAAAATTATTATTATGAGAGTAAAGTCGTAATAT